TCCCATCCTTGCCCTTAGAAGCCCATAGTTTAAACATGTGATGGTCTTTGTTAAGTTTGTGAGGAGGGAAGTCTTGATCAGTTCGCAATTCTTTCAAGAAGATTAAATCTTCATATAGTTTTTGATTACGACAGACTTCCCTCCAAACTTTAAGTGTGGCAACAACCCATATTTTAATGATTACTTTCTAGTTGTTTCTTTATCATTAAACACACGTTTTCATCACAATATGTTAGAGTTTAAAATCAGATCTATATCATTTCCCCCCAATAACAGAGTTATCTCTTGATGCTGATATACTGGGAACATCTGATGGTATCAAGTTGAACATATTGAAACTTTATTGGTTTGTTAATTGTGTTTGTGTGCGCAATAAATGTTCAGATGCTCAGAGAAGCCAAAACATCCTTCATCCATCATTCACATCCAAATGTCAACTAACATTTAAATATGTTCATCTCTAATATCGTCAAGTGATTCATTTAATTTCTGTTTCTTTTGGTAACAGTCAGTGACAGCAGGAGCACACACATGAGATCAGATCACACTGACAACTCATTACACTCTATTATTATATATTATTATTTATTATATTAAATGCACTAACAGCAAAGGTCTATCAGAACATGTCACATCTTTTTTCATCAAATGCTTGATGTTAATATAATGTTTCCTCTTTTTAACACATGTTGTAATATATGTTTTATTATAGACTTGCTGGCTGGATAATCACAGAGACTGACTGTGAAGTCGTGGCCTCAGCTCTGAAGTCTGACCCCTCCCATCTGAGAGATCTGGACCTGAGTCTCAACCCTCTGCAGGATTCACATGTGGAGCGTCTGAGTTCTGGACTGAAGAGTCCAAACTGCAGACTGGAGGCTCTCAGGTCAGTTCACTGACTGCAGTTCATATTGATCTGTTTGTGTTCATGATTTTCTGAATTTGAACAAATACAATGTTATTGTTATTTGTTCCGTTTCTGCTAATGACTGAATATTGATCAGAGTAACAGAGAGAAGGTGAATGTGTGAGAGAGAGAGTTTGAGCTTCCACAGACTCACCCTGTGCTCCAGGAGTCAGTGGAGATGCTGTCAGTACTGAGGAGCTGTGAGGGAGAGGAAGGAGTTGTTCAACATCTGATCAAAGTTAGAGTTCCAGATTATCAGTGGATTGTTTCTGCATCATCTCTGACATTAAAACCCTGTTTGACTCTGAACAGATTATTAAACCTGGAGTTATTTCAAACAGGAACATTGTTTTCTAAAGTGACATCATGGTTTCTTTCTTCAGTCTGAAGGGCTGCAGTTTGTCAGAGATCAGCTGTTCTGCTCTGATCTCAGCTCTGAAGTCCAACCTCCATCTGAGAGATCTGGACCTGAGTCTCAACGCTCTGCAGGATTCAGATGTGGAGCTGCTGAGAGATCTTCTGGAGAGTCCAGACTGCAGACTGGAGACTCTCAGGTCAGTTCACTGACTCTCTGTTACTGCTGGAGATCTCACATGTTCGCTTTGTAACTGAACCTCATTTATATTCATTAATAACTTACATCCACAAAGTTGTAAATGTCCTTTTATTCATATTTCATGTTTAAGAGTAAGAAGTAAGAACTTCAGACATACATGTTGACTGTTTCTTAAAGTTGTGACAGTCGCAGATTGATCTCAGTGTTTCTTATAAACTTGAGGGGCAAAAGTTAAGGCATGTGGTTTAGATTGAAATTAAATTAAATCTATGATACATGTGTATTATCCTCGCAACTACAGTTGTTAAATGTCCACTTTTATGTAAGGTTTGAGTGTGTGGTTCTGCAAGCCTCATTTGCATATTCACCTGCGTCCAGAGGCTTTTTAGTGGGCGCGTCACCGGGATGCCAGGGGTGGTTCTCACGGGAGGAGGAAGCGTATGTGTGGTGAATGCGGGTATTCAGCGGGATAGTTACGTTTTCTCAGCATGTATATCTATGTTCAAATGCAACGGGGAAGTAACTGAAAGTAACTTTTTGTGGATATTGCATCGACCGACCTGGAAGCACGTCTCCTTGGAGAGGACGCGCACAGATAGAGAGAGAGATTCTCTCCAACACAGGGTGAAATCGCTCCTTTGTGCCACGCTGATCTTCGTATTTTTCTTTTTGTGGATTATAGCCTGAAAAGGCCTACAAACATTTCTGTTTTTGCCGCCGACGGGCACAGGAGCAACAGCCTTTTTTTTTATCAATGAACTATGGCCTGGATTAGGCAGTAAGGACAATTTCGGTGTATCACCGAGCGGGCTTTTTGTTGGGTTTTGTTTGTTTTGTTTGGCTCAAAAACTGTGGATACACTTGAATAACGCAGAAAACCTGTCTTTGTTTATTTTGTGAATGTGTGCATAGACTGTAGTTAATACACTTCCGTGGGGACTATTTTGTGGAAAGAGCAGATTGTCCGTTTATCAGTTCTGTTTACCTTTATAATATTATTTAATTCAAGAACCCCTTGTGCGTTTAATGAACACATTTTAGATAGTTGATCGTTACAAAGTAACTGAAATAAATGTTAGTTGTAAAAAGTAAATCTATGTATTTAATATTTAGTAAACGATAACGTCTGAATAAAGGTCATCTGAAGTTTTACATGATAAAGTTCACTTTCTGAAGTAGACAGATTTTTCTGTTCCCATTCATTTAAATGTTGAGAAACATCTGATTGGATTATAAACTGATTTTTATCCTCATCATGTTTTCTTTATTCAGACTGGAGTACTGCAGTTTGTCAGAGATCAGCTGTTCTGCTCTGATCTCAGCTCTGAAGTCCAACATCCATCTGAGACATCTGGACCTGAGTGAGAACGCTCTGCAGGATTCAGGAGTGGAGCTGCTGAGAGATCTTCTGGAGAGTCCAGACTGCAGACTGGAGACTCTCAGGTCAGTTCACTGACTCTCTGTTACTGCTGGAGATCTCACATGTTCACTTTGTAATTGAACCTCATTTGTATTCATTAATAATTAACATCCATAGAGTTGTAAATGTCGTTTTATTCATATTTCATTTTTAAGAGTAAGAAGTAAGAACTGCAGACATACATGCTGACTGTTTCTTAAAGTAATTGAAATTGTCAAGTTCTTCTGGGTTTTGGCCTGTTTTCAGTGTTATGCCCAAACTTGAGAGGCTGGAGGGCAACAGAGGACGCTTGGACAACTCGGATTCTTTCTTTTTGTCTTTATTTTCTGCTCAGCAGTTATTTATATGACACTTTGTCAGAATCTCCTCAGCTTTGCATCAGGTTGAAAACCTTCAAACACAGAGGACAAACAAATGTTAGCACACATGCAAACAAAATCACAAACATTTTGTATGCCTCATTGCCTTATTTCTAATAATAATAATTCAGTCACATTCCATTTTCAGGGTATTATAATTCAAATGATAAATTGTGAGTTATTTTCCAAAACATCATTAACTTAAATGAATTAATAAGAGTTATAACCCAGAAAATCTCACTGAACATCACCTGCGCTGTCTAAAATATACACTAAACAAAACGGAGCGCACACAAACCACGCTGCGTAAAAGCCGTTGATTGCGCAACAGCACTCTCACACAATAAGGCAACAGATCAAGACGCAATAAACAACGGAAAACATACCAACGGCGTCTCTGGAGCCTCACACACACTGTCGCCAACTTCTCCGTCCGTGGCTTTGGGAACAAGAGAGCGGCCATCATAATTCCTGCCCCTTTTGTTGCCGCGTTACCGGAAGCGGCATTCATATTTTTTACTAACTGGCGCTTCTCATTTAGAAAAAGTAGCCTACGCTATTCAAAATAAAACGAATACCCCCCCTGGTATTGAACAATGCTATACACCATAATATCCTAAACGAAAATACATACAAATAATTATTTATCCGTCCGTTTTTCTCAAATATTATTATTTTTCTTTCAATATTGACTTTCGTCTCGACAGAAATAAATGTTAGTTGTAAAAAGTAAATCTATGTATTTCATATTTAGTAAACGATAAGGTCTGAATAAAGTTAATCTGAAGTCATTTTAGTTTTACATGATAAAGCTCACTTTCTGAAGTAGACAGATTTTTCTGTTCCCATTCATTTAAATGTTGAGAAACATCTGATTGGATTATAAACAGGTTTTTATCCTCATCATGTTTTCTTTATTCAGTCTGAGTGACTGCAGTTTGTCAGAGATCAGCTGTTCTGCTCTGGTCTCAGCTCTGAAGTCCAACCTCTATCTGAGACATCTGGACCTGAGTGAGAACGCTCTGCAGGATTCAGGAGTGGAGCTGCTGAGAGATCTTCTGGAGAGTCCAGACTGCAGACTGGAGACTCTCAGGTCAGTTCACTGACTCTCTGTTACTGCTGGAGATCTCATATGTTCACTTTGTAACTGAACCTCATTTATATTCATTAATAACTAACATCCATAAAGTTTTAAATGTCCTTTTATTCATATTTCATTTTTAAGAGTAAGAAGTAAGAACTGCAGACATACATGTTGACTGTTTCTTAAAGGAACTGTAATAGATGTTAGTTGTAAAAAGTACATCTATGTATTTAATATTTAGTAAACGATAACGTCTGAATAAACTTCATCTGAAGTCATTTTAGTTTTACATGGTAAAGTTTACTTTCTGAAGTAGACAGATTTTTATGTTCAGATTCATTTAAATGTTGAGAAACATCTGATTGGATTATAAACAGATGTTTATCCTCATCATGTTTTCTTTATTCAGACTGAGGGACTGCAGGTTGTCAGAGATCAGCTGTTCTGCTCTGATCTCAGCTCTGAAGTCCAACCTCCATCTCAGAGATCTGGACCTGAGTGTCAACAATCTGCAGGACTCAGATGTGAAGCTGCTGAGAGATCTTCTGGAGAGTCCAGACTGCAGACTGGAGACCCTCAGGTCAGTAAGGGGTCTCTGCTGGTTCAGCAGTATTGTATGAAACACAGGGAGGTGTTTCTCTCACTGGGAAACAGATCAGTGATGTTACCCACTGACTGCAGGCTCTCTCATTCTTCCATCAACTAGAGAAGGCCAGCTGAAAATGCAAAGCCACATTTAGTCAGTCATCAACTTTCCACCAGACATATGGGGTTTGACAGAAGAGTGGAAAAGGTAGTCTGTGTTTGATGGGATGTTTTTAGCTCCTTGACTAATGGCTGTTACTTCCTGTCATGCAGCTGAGAGCTGTGGCAGTCAGTCGTAGTGTTTGCAGAGAAGATATGATGGGATGTAAAGCATGAGATCAGGACTCTGAAGCTGACTCAAAGAACAAACACTTATTTTAAACTGGATCCATAACTGTTGGATTGTGTTCATCCCTACAGGATCAGAGATGATGAGACGATCAGAGCCAAGATCCAGAAGACCTGTGAGTACTGAATATCCTCCATTCATCCAGATATGAGACTCTTTGATGGAGCACGTCCTCAGAGGAAAACAACACTCTGGTTTCTCTCTTCATCATTTTGTCTGTTTCTCTTCACAAGAACTGTCTATCAACACAGTGACGCGTTCACTGACACTCTGTAAAATGTACATAAACTCTGAAGAATAAAACACATGAACACATCAACATTATAATCAGTCTGTTACAGTATTACCATCAACATATACTTCAGTACAAGTAGAAGTACTCAGATCTTGTACTTCAGTAAAAGTAGACGTACTCAATCAATCAATCAATCAATCAATCAATCAATCAATCAATCAATCAATCAATCAATGTTTATTTATATCCCAATATCACAAATGTTACATTTGTCTCAGTGGTCTTCACAGTTTGTACAGAATATCAGTACAATACGACACCCTCTGTCCTTAGACCCTCTGTCCTTAGACCCTCTGTCCTTAGACCCTCACATCGTACAGGAAAAACTTCCAGAGAAAACCCCACAGTTTAAAGGGGAACATGGGAGAAACCTCAGGGAGAGCAACAGACCTTAATCTGTTATTTAATGTTTAAATAAAGGTTAATTCGTTTTTCTGTTTTGCACATCCTCCTATTAATATCTGTGTACATCCTGCACTAAACTGTTTCATTGTAGAGATCACTTATAGTATCTTCTTGATTTTTTATATTCTATATTTCTATCAGACCTTCTACTTTCCCCCTATGAAAGTATGTACTCTTAATATTTTTTTAATCAAATATAACACATAAAAACAATAATTCAATAACGTGCTTTAACCACTAGGCGGTGCACACAAGGTACACACAGCCATAACAACTTTGTATTATTAGTGTAGGACACTTATGTATGTACAACATCTGAAGATGTGTAGTTTTATTCATGTTTTCACATAATTTTACAGCATATTGCTATACTATTTCAGACTCAGTATTTACATTCTTATATTCAAAGAAAATCAGTAATATGTTTAAAAACTACAAGTCCTTTTATATCAGCTGTGCACCGTTATGGTGTGAATATAACCTATCTGTGAATTAGATCAAATGTAAAAGTCAGCCGAATTAGTGTTGATACTGCAAGGAGACGTATTGTGTGAAGAGAAATTGAAGATGTTGTTTAATTGTTGATATATTTATGATCCACGTCAAGTATTCAGTTTCGGCGGCATTTCTTCAGTTTTTCCAAAGGTCTTCTCATCAGGGCTCTATAAATAAAGAACTACGGCAGATCTGTAATATACAATGCAGCCGAACTGTGTATTACAATGCCGTTATGTGATGACTTTCAAAGAGAAAAGCAAGAGCGCTCGGAATTAAGTATTATTTTATTCTTTTAAAATGTTTTCCAGATTTCATATCATATAAACACCAAATCCCAGCATGCATTGCGGCTAAAATATCCAATCAGCAAGCTTAAACCATAGCAGAGGATCTTGGGTAATCGCTCGAAATGCCTACGTCTGTTTCCGGTTATTTTTATTTTGAAATTCAGTTCCTGACGGACGCCAAAAAAGCCGGAGATTATGGAATTAAACCAATAAATAAAAGCAAGGATAATTGTGTGTTATTGGTGAGTAAATAACAGTGTGTTATTTTGAAAAGAATAACAAATTAGAAGGAAAAAAAGATTTAAAAAAATACAGATTTCAGTATTCTGAGGCTCTGAGCCCCATTTATTTTCCTCACAGACGGCAACAAAAGTCCGAAATTATACGATTTAAAATAAAAGCAATAATTGTGGCTTGATATTGAGTAAGAACATGTTTTTATGAACCGCACAGCTTCTGGTCTTCCACGACCCGACCGGAGAAAAAGACGTGCTGCAGGCACGAAACACATTACCAGTAGAAATACATTGCTTTTAAAATTGTGCTGTGCAACACGAAAAAAAAAAGGGGGAAATCGTGTTGGTGAACACGAATCAATAGATTACGAAATGCCATGAGACTGGGTTCAGATATCGGTGACATTTCAAAGCGTCTCAAGGACCTTGAGTATCTGAAGTGTAATTTTTGTGTACTTTCGGGTTAATAATGTGGCCTTTTTGGTAGTTTAACTAAAGGTGTGCGGCTGCTGCTGTGAGGAAATATCAGCCTGAAATTACAATGGGCTTCAATGGAGGCATGTTGAAAGTTGTTGTCACTTCATGCCCTCAAGAGGCATTTTGTTGAATTATTTTTGCATAATTATTTGTAATTTTTCAAGCTGTTGTTCTGTTTTCCTACGTTTGTAATGAAAAATGATGTCTCAGGAATGTAGGGTTTGGGAATTATGGCAGTTTAAAAAAAATATGTGAAGGCAAATTTGAAAATTTCCTAACCTCTAGCTGTGACATCACGCACTCTAGGTAATGTTAAAATCTGAAGAAAACCTCTTTAACAAGGTCTGAACAATGTTTAATATCTCTAAAAGTAAGAATCAGATTTAAAAGTTATTTAATATGAATAATGTCAGAAAGATGTGTAACATTTTAAAGTTGGAATGAGGTTTCTGAGTGAAAGTATGAATGAACAGTTAGCAGTTGAATTCGCATGAAGATTTTGAAGATTTTCTTTTCTCCATTGACTTAAATGTTAAAAATGTGATGTATTATGGGATGTACAGTGGGGCAAAAAAGTATTTAGTCAGCCGCCAATTGTGCAAATTCTCCCACTTAAAAAGATGAGAGGCCTGTAATTTTCATCCTAGGTACACTTCAACTATGAGAGACAGAATGGGGCGAAAGAATCCAGGAAATCACATTGTAGGATTTTTAATGAATTCATTGGTAAATTCCTCGGTAAAATAAGTATTTGGTCACCTACAAACAAACAAGATTTCTGGCTCTCACAGACCTGTAACTTCTTCTTTAAGAGCCTCCTCTGTCCTCCACTCGTTAACTGTATTAATGGCACCTGTTTGAACTCGTTATCAGTATAAAAGACACCTGTCCACAACCTCAAACAGTCACACTCCAAACTCCAAGACCAAAGAGCTGTCAAAGGACACCAGAAACAAAATGGTAGACCTGCACCAGGCTGGGAAGACTGAATCTGCAATAGGTAAGCAGCTTGGTGTGAAGAAATCAACTGTGGGAGCAATTATTAGAAAATGGAAGACATACTGATATATACTGATAATCTCCCTCGATCTGGGGCTCCACGCAAGATCTCACCCCGTGGGGTCAAAATGATCACAAGAACGGTGAGCAAAAATCCCAGAACCACACGGGGGGACCTAGTCAATGACCTGCAGAGAGCTGGGACCAAAGTAACAAAGGCTACCATCAGTAACACACTACGCCGCCAGGGACTCAAATCCTGCAGTGCCAGACGTGTCCCCCTGCTTAAGCCAGTACATGTCCAGGCCCGTCTGAAGTTTGCTAGAGAGCATTTAGATGATCCAGAAGAGGATTGGGAGAATGTCATATGGTCAGATGAAACCAAAATAGAACTTTTTGGTAAAAACTCAACTAGACGTGTTTGGAGGAGAAAGAATGCTGAGTTGCATCCAAAGAACACCTACTGTGAAACATGGGGGTGGAAACATCATGCTTTGGGGCTGTTTTTCTGCAAAGGGACTAGGACGACTGATCCGTGTAAAGGAAAGAATGAATGGGGCCATGTATCGTGAGATTTTGAGTGACAACCTCCTTCCATCAGCAAGGGCATTGAAGATGAAACGTGGCTGGGTCTTTCAGCATGACAATGATTCCAAACACACCGCCCGGGCAACAAAGGAGTGGCTTCGTAAGAAGCATTTCAAGGTCCTGGAGTGGCCTAGCCAGTCTCCAGATCTCAACCCCATAGAAAATCTTTGGAGGGAGTTGAAAGTCCGTGTTGCCCAGCGACAGCCCCAAAACATCACTGCTCTAGAGGAGATCTGCATGGAGGAATGGGCCAACATACCAGCAACAGTGTGTGAAAACCTTGTGAAGACTTACAGAAACCGTTTGACCTCTGTCATTGCCAACAAAGAGTATATAACAAAGTATTGAGATGAACTTTTGTTATTGACCAAATACTTATTTTCCACCATAATTTGCAAATAAATTCTTTAAAAATCTGACAATGTGATTTTCTGGATTTTTTTTCTTCTCATTTTGTCTCTCATAGTTAAAGTGTACCTAGGATGACAATTACAGGCCTCTCTCATCTTTTTAAGTGGGAGAACTTGCACAATTGGTGGCTGACTAAATACTTTTTTGCCCCACTGTATCTCTGGAATTATGAAAGTTATGAATGAGAAAAGTAATAGCCATCGATTCCCGACCGAGCTGAACGTTTTGATGTTTGAACAGAGTTTCAGCGATGTTCAATGTGGAAGGAGAAGAGGGCCAAAATAAGTCGGCGGAATAATAAACTTTTCGTCCATAGAATAACATATAGTTGGAATGCTGTCATCAGCATTCCCACTCAATAAGAGTAAAATAACTATCAGCATATATTCATATTTGGTTATATAAATTATGAAGTACAAAATGAGTTAAGTGAAAATGGACATCTGTACATATAGTGACATAGCTATCTACATATTTGGTCTACTACTAATATATATGATTATACTAATAATGAGTTGTTGTCCAGAATGTGTCTGGCTTTCCCCAATATTGCGATAGTCTTAGCCAGTTTTGCTTTTACATGATTGATATGAGGTTTCCAGCTGATTTTGTGGTCTCAAACCACACCAAGGAACTTATTTACATATACTCTTTCTATGTTTATCTTGTCTAGTATTAATTGCACCTGAGGATTTGTTTTATGTGTTCTAAATAGCATAATCTTTGTTTTGCTTATATTCAATGATAGTTTGTTCTTAAATCTTGTTTTCTTTTCTTGTGTATTTCATAAACAGGATATTTTTTTTTTTTCATGAAGCTTTAAGACTAAATATTATTTTCTCAGCTCTGTAATAAATAAACGCATTTAAAAAATAAATATCCCATTCGTTGTCCTTATATCCTGATTGATGAGTCAGCAGTAAAGCAGCCAGGCGGTAACGGTCAGCTGGCATGTGTATCTGTTCATTGGCTCATATGTGTAGCATGTTCAATGGCAGTGTTTTGAAAATGGCTGCCAGGTGAATATGTCAGATCTCTGTGTGTTACTCAGAGAACCGTGTGCAGGGTTTTAGAAAGTACAGAGTTGAATTGCAGATTGTGTGCAGAGCTGAAAATGTGTTTAGAGTTCTGTTTGATTGAATCCAGCCAGTGTTGCCGCAGCAAAGCATAAGGGCTCAGAGCTCAGACCTATTGTGTTCACATTATATACGCTTCCTTTAGGCGATAAGGAATCACCCGGGACATTTTCATTGTTATGCGGATGATACTCAATTATACACAATATAGACAAAAGTATTGGACCACCTGCACATTAGAGACCTGCAGCGGTCAGACTATATAACCACCACGACCCCTAGTAGACCCCCGACAAGGCAAGGCAAGGCAAGTTTATTTATATAGCACTTTTCTGTACCCGACAATTCAAAGTGCTTTACAAAACAAATTAAAAGACTTTTTAGGAATACATACAGTAAAAACACATTATATATAATGGCATTTTACAACAAGCATTACAAAGCAAAGATAATAAAATAATAAAAATAAACACCACAGGTATACAATACATTTTAAAAAGGCATACTGTAGTTTGAATATGATCATCTCAATTAAAAGCAGCCAAAGAGATATGTTTTCAGTCTCGATTTAAAAATAGTAAGCGTTTCTGTGGACGTGCATGATTTGGTAGTTTGTTCCAGAGTGTCGGGGCATAACAGCTAAATGCTGTCTCTCCATGTTTTGTTGTTACTCTCGGAGCCGATAGCAGATCCATCCCAGAAGACCTGAGGCATCTTGATGGCTCGTAATTATGTAGGAGTTCAACAATATACTTTGGTCCTAAACCATGTAATGATTTAAAAACTAGCAGCAGTACTTTAAAATCAATTATTTGGCCGACTGGAAGTCAGTGTAGAGATTTCAGAACCGGACTGATGTGATCCACTCTTTTAGTGTTAGTGAGGACACGAGCAGCAGCGCTCTGAATCAGCTGCAGCTTTATGATGGATTTTTTAGTGAGCCTTGTGAAGACACTAATGAAGCTTAGCGCAAGTTCAGACAGGAAGACCTATCACTCCGTATTGCACGTCATGGCAATACTCGCTCCCTGCACTAAATGACAGGGAGCGCCACTCCTCAGCTAACCTATCACTCCCCTCCATTTACAAGCCTAATTATCGCACCTGTTAATCTCTCTATATATGCTCTCCCCTTTCCTATCAGCTGTCTTCCAGGTGTCAACGTGCAAAGCTGGTAGTTCACACTCCTCTTACGCCTTAAACACTGGATACGAAAAACAAAAACAAAACAAACGCTCAACATGTCTAATTCAGACTCTCGTCTGAGTGCCCGCAGTGGCTCTCGCTCAGCAGAGGCAGAATTCCTCGTTGCCCACCTCCAGAAGCAGGGCTTCACACCAGCCCCAGATCTCCTGCTTTCTCAGCTCTGTGAGCTGTCGGACCAAGCCTCCGGCGCGGTCTCCCAGCCCAGGCCAGCAGCCCCAGCCAGCCCCCCCGGAAGAGAGCGAGGGCGCGCTCGCGGCCGCGGGGGCAAAAGGCCTAAAAAAGCGCGTCCTCCAGGAGCTCACTCGGCCAAAAAATCCTCCACTCCTCAGGCTCACTCCAGCGGTGCTCAGCAGCCCAGCACCGCTGAGCCCGGGAGCTCCGGCACTCAGCCCCCCTTCGACGGCAGACTAGCCAACACTCTGCAATCTTTGGCAAGTTCCATGCTGTTAATAGACGCTCGCCTTCAGTCCATGGAGAGAGGTCAGGCTGGAGCTTTAACCTCTTCGGCGGCCCTGCCGGGTCAGGATTTTACATCTGGCACGGTAGCTCCATCTTACTCTCTGGCTTCCGCCCTCCCGACTCCTCTCTCAGGTAGGCCCTACATCCCCCAAGCCGCTAACATCTCCTCACGGCTCCGGGCAAAAATCCTCGACGGGAAAGACATTAATTTGGTCAGCCTCATCCTGCCTTCCCCGGAGTGCGATAAAGCCATCGCCACGGGAGGAAGCATAACCCCCTAATCCCACCAGGAGCGTCTGCGCTGCGTTGCGCTGCGGCTGCGGCGTTTTTAGCGATCGCGGCCACTCTAGTCAATGGGTGCTATTCCACCAGACACGCTGCGCCGCACTGTGCCGCGGCTCGAAGCGTCCCAGAAGCTCCTCGCCGCAAGGAATTTCTAAAATATAGGATGAATCCTATTTTTGACGCGGCGCAGCGCGGCGCAGGCAGGAAGTGGAATGTTCATCCAACAACTGCGAGGCTGCACACAAGACGCTCCGCTTCCGCAACGTTTTGAAACGCGCCTGGTGGGTTAGGACGCAGTAGGAGGTCGCAGCGCATCGCAGCGCATCGCAGCGCATCGCAGCGCATCGCAGCGCATCGCAGCGCATCGCAGCGCATCGCATCGCAGCGCATCGCAGCGCATCGCAGCGCATCGCAGCGCATCGCAGCGCATCGCAGCGCATCGCAGCGCATCGCAGCCGCAGCGCAGACGCTCCTGGTGCGATTAGGGGGTTACTGCGGTATTTAAATCCGCAGACCCCCGGCTCCTCAAAGACCTTTCTATAGGGCAATTCCTGGTAGTTTTTAGCATTTTCCGCGATGTTCTCTGCACAGTTTACCCTGGAAGGAGAGTGGAGTTAGACGCTTATCTGGCCATGATCGGAAATCTTCACATCAAATACGGGAAAATAGTGTTCTATCAATACCACAAAAGCTTCTCTAGCAAAGCAGTGCTACACTTAGCTCATAGCAACATCCGCCTGGACTGGTCCGTGCTGGATACCGAGCTGCTCGTTATGGCTACCGGCGGGCAACAAGTCGTCTCATGCATTAGCTGCGGAGCGCAGGGCCACACCTCTCCGCTCTGCCCTTCAGTACCTCTCTCCGGGTCTAGCATTTTCCCCACGCAGTATTCTGGGAACATTAAAACAAACCGTCAGGTGATTAAGCAAAGGGACAATAAGATTTGCGGTGCTTTTAATGAGAACGTATGTTCTTACCCCTATTGTACTTTTCTCCATATTTGCAGTACTTGCAGGGAGGCCCACCCGAGGTCAGTTTGCCCCAGGTGCCGGCTCCCTTTCCCGCGCCAGAATCAACGTGGTGGAAAAACCTCTTAAAACATCACCCCTCGACTCCCATTAACACCACACACTTAGCAGCTGCACTTTCGACTCACCCAAATCCCATGTTCGTTGATTATCTGTTGTCAGGGCTCTCTCAAGGGTTCAGGGTAGGGGTTCTCTCTCCCCCCTCAGTGACTCTAGTGGAGAAAAAAAAACCTGCAGTCAGCTGCCAAAGAACCCACTATAGTCTCTCAGCTCATTAAAAAAGAGCTCAACAAAGGATATTTAATCGGTCCTTTCCATTCCTCTCCGTTCCCAGTGTTCCGGACAAGCCCAATAGGGGTCGCTACACGCAAATACTCCGAGAAGAAAAGGCTCATTTTCGATCTGTCCGCTCCTCGCGCTGGGCCGTTCTGCAGCATCAATAGCCTTATTCCCCCCGAGTATTTTTCACTTCACTACGCTTCAGTCGATAATGCCATCAAGCTCATCAAATTCGCAGGGCAAGGAGCGTGGCTCTCCAAAGCAGATATCACTGACGCATTCAAAATCATTCCCATTCACTCATCTCAGTGGCACATGTTCGGTATCAGGTGGGAGTCCAAATTCTACTTCGCTGTCCGTCTAACCTTCGGGTGCAGAAGTAGCCCTTGTAGCTTTAATTCTTTTTCCGAAGCCCTCTGCTGGATCCTCCTGAACATCGTCAGAATCCCCTCCGTTCTTCACTTATTGGACGATTTCCTCCTCATAGATCCCCCTCGGGACAACTCTAGCAAAACTCAAAACATGCTTTCAGGAGTTAGGCGTTCCCCTCTCAGAAGAGAAAACGCTAGATCCCAACACACGCCTGGAGTTTCTGGGCATTACACTCGACTCCGTAGACATGGAAGCGTCTCTCCCCACGGACAAACTGCAGCGCATTCGGGACATCTCAAAAGCCTTCTGCGAGCAACAAGTTATCACCAAGCAGCTCTCCCTGCTCGGGCACCTCAATTTCGCCATGCGTATCATCCCTCAGGGGCGCTCTTTTATCTCCCGGCTTCTGGATACAGCGTCGGCTGCAGAAAACCTCCATGACCACGTCTTTCTAGATGAAGGCTGCCGCTCAGACCTACGGTTTTGGTCCCTCCTGCTCGCACACTGGAATGGCGTCACCTTTTTCTACGACGACCTCGTGTACTCCTCCGACTCCATGAGATTCTTCACGGACGCTGCCCCATCCGTGGGTTTTGGGCTTTTTTTTCAGGGAGAGTGGTTTGCAGGCTCGTGGCCTCCGTCATTCCCCAGCCATGCCTCTTCCTCCGCTCTGCATGAGATCTTTCCGATCGCTGTTGCCTGCCACGTGTGGGGTCACCTCTGGCCCCGGAAGCGGATCTCAGTACTCTGTGACAACCTATCAGTGGTCGGGATTATTAACAAAGCACGCTCCCCGTGCCGTGACATCATGCCGTTCATGAGAAGCATCACGTGGTCTTCCATCACCCACAACTTCCTCATCTCCGCTCGTCACGTTCCCGGCCACCTTAACTCAGTGGCTGATTCCCTCTCTCGCTTCCAATTCCAGACGTTCCGGAACCTCTGCCCAGGAGCCAGCGCTCAACCCGTCAGGATTCCTCCCCTGCATCTCCTCTCTCTCTCCTAAATAGAAGCCCCCTAGAAAGGCACCTCGAATCAGCCAGGTTTTTTATGAGGAAGGGCTTAGCCGCGTCCACCCTCAAAACATATGATTTCACTTGGAGAACGTTCGCGATGTTTTGCTTTTCCGTAGGCATCACACTTAAACCTGTTCTCATCTCCAACGTGTGTGCCTTCATGTGCTACTGCGCCACTGATCGCCACCTCAAACCCCAATACATCCGGGGCCTCTTAGCAGGAGTGCAGTTTAATGTTCGCTGTTCCGATCCCGGCTTTCCCAGCCTGTTCGCAAACCAGTCAGTCAAACTCATCCTCAAAGGTCTCATTAAAACTTTTCCCCCCGTCTTAGACCGGAGACGCCCTATTACACTCTCCACTTTACGCCTCATGCTCTCCAAACTTAGAAGTGGGTTATTCTCCCCTTATATCGATGCGCTACTCGATGCTCTATTTCTCCTAGCTTTTTATGCCTTTCTCAGACCAGGTGAATTTACCACAGCTTCCCTTACATTTGATTCCAATCGAGACGTCAGCTTTTCTGACATATCCTTTCACGCTAGCCACTTTAGCTTATATCTTAAACACTCCAAATGCGGCGGCGCCTGCTCCGTCATCGCCGCCCGCATCGACTCCCAGTTCTGCCCTTATAAATCCATGATCAAATTCCTACAGCTTAGACCTACCTCTAATCCTCTCTCACCATTATTCCTTATCTCAGGGAATTATCCTTTAACTCAACGACAGTTCAATATCTATTTAAAACAAGTCCTCATTAAATCCGGGTTATCACCCCTTCTATACACGGGGCATTCCTTTAGAATAGGCGCAGCTACTTCCGCTGCTAATCAAGGTGTCTCATCCTCATCCCTGCAACAACTCGGACGGTGGTCCTCCTCCGCTTTCTCATCCTACATTCGCCCTGACCTCAATGCCGTGCTGGCTATCCAAAGGTCTCTCCAACCTTAAAATTGGTACGTATGCATATAACTGGTGGTGGTTCTTAGCATGTCAGCACGTATGTCGCCCCGCGGCTCATGTTTATTCCTGCATATCTAACCCTGTATGTCCAGGTTGTAAAACCTTCGGGTCTGTATAAATGTGTCCCTGCTAAGGCAGGTTGCCCCGCACGTTCGGGATGCCCCGTACGTCCGGGACGCCCTGTATGTCCAGGATGCCCCGTACGTCCGGGACGCCCTGTATGTCCAGGATGCCCCGTATGTCCGGGAAGCCCCGTATGTCCGGGTCGTTAACCTCCGGTCCGTATAATGTGTCCCTGCTAAAGTGAGGTTGCCCCGCACGTTCGGGAAGCCCTGCACCTTCCGGGCGCCCCTCACGTCGGGTCGCTCGGTGCGTCCGGGATGCCCCGTACGTCCGTGATGCCCGTACGTCCGGGATGCCCCGTACGTCCGGGACGCCCTGTATGTCCAGGATGCCCTGTATGTCCAGGATGCCCTGTATGTCCGGGATGCCCTGTACGTCCAGGATGCCCCGTCCGGGATGCCCTGTACGTCCGGGATGCCCCGTACATCCGGGAAGCCCTGTACATCTGGGAAGCCCTGTATGTCGAGGAAGGATGCCCGGGAGGCATCAGATGTTTAAATTCTCACATGTATTAACCTCTCATTTCCATCCATAGATTTCCACTGCATCCCACAAGGTAAGATTCTTCACGTTCAGTACTTCATACTTCATTCTTTTGGGGGTTCATCGGAAACGGTTCTTCCCTTCCCGATTGATATCCTACAAAACCTGGGCCTAATCGCCAAAACACCATTTCATTCACTTGTTATAAACTGTCATCATTATGTTTCATTTATATAATGTGACCGATAATAAATATGTATTCCATACATCACGTCTCTCCTGATTGAAATGAAGCTTAGCGCAAGTTCAGACAGGAAGACCTATCACTCCGTATTGCACGTCATGGCAATACTCGCTCCCTGCACTAAATGACATTGAGCGCCACTCCTCAGCTAACCTATCACTCCCCTCCATTTACAAGCCTAATTATCGCACCTGTTAATCCCTCTATATATGCTCTCCCCTTTCCTATCAGCTGTCTTCCAGGTGTCAACGCGCAACCCTCCTCCACCCCTTCGCCTCCTGCTTTCAACTCAGGGCCAAGCTTAACCTTCTCCCTTCTAACCGGACCTAACCACTTATCACCACCACCAGTGTCTAGACCCAGGGGGGTTCATCGGAAACGGTTCTTCCCTTCCCGATTGATATCCTACAAAACCTGGGCCTAATCGCCAAAACACCATTTAATTCACTTGTTATAAGCTGTCATCATTATGTTTCATTTATATAATGTGACCGATAATAAATATGTATTCCATACATCACGTCTCTCCTGATTGAATTGCAGTAGTTGAGTCTACTGAAAATAAAAGCATGGACAAGCTTTTCTAAGTCCTGTTGCGACATTAGTTTTTTAATCCTCGATATATTCTTCAGGTGATAATAAGCAGACCCAATGACTGTTGTAATGTGGCTGTTGAAATTCAGGTCTGAGTCCATCACTACACCTAGATTTCTGGCTTTATTAGTGGTTTTGTAGTCTGCCGACTGACAAACACAATAACACAGACTATAACACCTATTGTAAAAAAAAAATCTTTGTTGTATGCATGCTTTAGGTAACATGAAGCTGTCTTTGGCTCTTTTCTGCTGTAACAATGTACATTTCTCCTCTGTGGGACTAATAAAGGGATTCTGACACCTACAGGAGCTTTCAGGACATCCCATTCCAAACTCTTAGGCATTCATTTGAACTTGGTCCCCCTTTGCAGCTATAACAGCTTCTACTCTTCTGGGAAGGCTTTCTACAGATCTTGGAGTGTGTCTGTGGGCACACTCCAAGATCTGTTGCTCATCCAGAAGAGCATTAGTAAGGCCAGTGGCGGTTTTATATGTAAAAAAGGGGTGGGGCACGAACGGCGGTGGGGGGGAAATTACATAATGTCGGAAGCCATGAATGAAGAACATGGAGCAACACTGTCAGCGCATACATTTACGTACACAGCGTGGGGATGTCATATTGTAATGCACCTTAATACATGCAGTAAAGGGCACCCTCACAAAGCAATACTTAACAACAACAACCGTAATGCTTCAGCATTACACACCATAGACTGTAAATATAAGGAAACAGACACTCATCACCGAGGTCACAATATCAATCGATCCAGCAAAGCAATAGCCTATAGGCAACACAATAAATGACATAAAAGGAACTTACCAAAGCTGAAGTAGATGGTCAACTTCATTCATTTTCTTTCCGTTTTTACTGATTTTAATGGCTATATGCTGCACTTTTCGCGGCACACATCCTTACAGCCAATCAGCTCTGAATTATGAGATGACGTTTTGCTGGGGTTGCCAGCACTTTGCCCCACTGGTGATTATTTTTTTGCCGCACACATTGAATACAAAAATACTCGGAGCTTGCGCAGTGTAGTTTTTACATTCATTTATTTTGACAGCGAGAGAGGGGCTAGATCGGGGCTTGTCCCACATCGCTCTACACGGCTCAATAGGCACACTGTAGACACTAATTAGCAAAATAGCAATGTACAGACGAATCAGATGACTAAACATGATTTTAAAATATATTTTAAGATGTATATTCTTTGCATATTTTTGGAATTATAATTGTAATGACTTTCTGCTGACACTAGGTGGGGCTGTCCCTAATGACGAGTCGCCACTGGTGAGGTCAGACCCTGATGCTGGACGAGAGGCTCTAGTTCATCCCAAAGGAGTTCAGTGGGGTTGAGGTCAAGTTCTTCCACACCAAACTCATCCACCCAGGCCTTGATGGAGCTGCTTTGTGGGGCTCAGTCATGCTGGAACAGAAAGGTTCTTCCTCCCCAGACTGTTTCCACAAAGTTGGAGGTAACGTTCTCCTGCATTCCCCAGACTGGTCCATCAGAGGACAGATAGAGAAGCGTGATTGGTCGCTCCACAGAACACGTTTCCACTGCTCCAAAACTCTGCAGTTATTGAGTCGGCAGAGCTTTGTACACTTTTACGCACTATGCACCTCAGCGCCCCCATTTGGTACAACTAATTCCCGAACAGTGTCCTTCACATGCTGATATCCAAGAGAGGGAGTTACACAGTCACAAGATGGAGGAATAGAAAGCAGTATTCAATGTTTACTTCAGATTAGCTCCACGTCAGAAATGAGCATGCTTGTCATATGTCTATCTCCATAGAGGCTGAATCATCATGTTAATCACATAGCTATCATATGCCTAAAACAGTCCTGATGCTCTATAGGTAATAAAGTAACGTGTTATAGCAGGAAGTTTAATACAGCGTATTTCTGGTATATTCATTTTAATGTCACCTGATATATAGGATGTGTGTTAAACTTGAATGGACGAAAAATGATGTCTCCTTTTAAGTAGAAGTAGATTAGCGCAAATGGTCTTTTCTTCCACTTTTGTGTTATAATCAAAAGGTGGTTTTTGGGCTATTTGTGAGTAGGTAAGGTACAGTACAACCTGTGATTTCTGCCTTGAGTAAAATGATTACCCGTTGATAAGTATTTTTCAGAAAGTCATTTTGGGCTTTCAAGGGCGGAACTTAGTAGGTTATCTGTAAGAGTTTTTTGCATGATCTGGAAACTTAAATTAATAAAAGGAGGAAATATTATGTCAATTCTTGGACCTTCTCAATATAACTATACTTTAATTACAGTTTCCAGATGTTAGAAGAGGCCATGAGACGATTGGGTCACACACAAGTTAGAGAGACAATGGTCCTTCTGAATTATCAATAGATGCATTCATGTTAAGTGAGCTGACTTCGAGGTTAGAGGAATTTCAGAGAAGGCCTTAGGGTATGAGAACAGTTAACCTTTGTTAGTTAACTAATCCTAAGGATGTCATGAGACGATGACGTTTAAACATATACAAATATAGCTTTCGGAGAGAAAAACATGTGACATTTGTGTGGTAGGCTGCATGATAAAATGTGTGTGTGTGATCCCAGCTTGGTCATCTGTTAACATCTCCTTGTAAGAAGATGGGGCGGAGTCAACGGCTGCTGACTCATTGCCTAGGGTTCGCCCAGAAGTGAAACCGGCCAATGGAGAACTACCAGCTCACTGTCTAGGGCTCGCCCAGAAGTGAAATCGCTAATAACAAATAGCTAGGGAGAAGCAACTGGCACAACTCCTCCCACAGAATTTGTATTTAAGCTGTCCCAATGTTCATACTCGGCGCTGTCTTCTGACTGACTGTCCTGAGACGTATCTCACGCGGTAGTAGAATTCAGCCTGGAGTACTCTGTATTTTGTACTGTTGCAGGGTACTCTGTATTGTGTATTGTTGCTTTTTACCATTAAACTCAGCTTATTGCTTATCTCATTCCTCGGTGTTCGAGTCCTTTCCTTGTAGGAGCCTACTCATCAACGGACGGCGCAGAGCAGAGGTGAACCTTCCACCACCGCCATTGTGTGGTGCTCCAACAGTAATCATACATCCTGTCATGAACACAGCTACAGTTGGGATACCTTTGTTACTCTCAGATTGGAAGAGTACATTCAGTATTTTCCCAACAGTGGAATATCTAGGAGAGAAGACATTTCACGAACTGACTTGTTGTAACTGTGGCCTCCTATTACAGAACCACGTTGGAATTCAGCGAGCTCTTTAGAACAGTGGTTCTCAACTGGTGGGTCGCGACCCAAAAGTGGGTCGCGGACCCGTTTCGAGTGGGTCGCGGATGTGTGAGTGAAGAAAACAAATTGAAAAAAAAATATTTTAATTTTTTTTTTGGGGAAAAAGTCCAAACTTTTATTTTGAAGGCCCAATTTTCTAACGCTGTGCATGCAGTCGGCGTTGGACTGGAAGTACCGGAGACCATAAACGGGTTTGAAAACTTCTGTCACATAGTGATCATCTTCTCAATAAAATATATTTGCTAATGTTTGTTCGAGTCTTCTGGCCAATCAGAATCAAGATTGTTGCCGGAAGTCCCCACGGAGAATAACTTTGCGGTATAACTCTTCTTTATACATCCATGGGTACAACTTCAGATAAAAATGAACACATAATGAAATATGACCCCCGGTCTGATGATTGACACGTCACAGAACAATGGGAGCTATCTACCCTTACCCACAATTTAAAGTAAGTCACACAGACTATCTCCTGTTTACTCTTCTCGCAGCAAGCTGTCAGAACAAAGTGAAAAACAAACAATGGCATAACATATTATTAATATGTCGGGTAGTAATAGATTTATTTATTTTCTTCTCAGAGTGTACCAGAATGCATAGTTTATGTTAGTATTTCTAAAAATCTCCTGGGGGACAATCCCCCCAGACCCCCCTGCTGGGGTTGGGTTTTCAGCATGCGTGCCTTTTTATACAGTTCAGCTTTGATTCCATCATCTCATTAAACCTTTTTTAAAAGCATACTTTAGTTCTGTGAAGGGATATAAGGGATATATGCACTGTACTTCACTTTTATTAATATTGTATGCTGAAAAGCGTATATTACAGCACGATATTTTGTTGAATAGATTTGAGTGCTTCAAAATGTTGGGTCGCGATGTATTGACCAAGTAAAAAGTGGGTCCCGAGGCCTGACCAGTTGAGAACCACTGCTTTAGAACGACCCATTCTTTCACAAATGTTTGTAAAGGCAGACTGCATGGCAAGGTGCTTGATTTTTATACACCTGTGGCAATGGGACTGAATGAAACACCTGAGTTCATTGATTAAGAGGAGTGTCCCAATACTTATATAGTGAATGTCATAGTGTATAATGTTGAAAAAGGTCATAGTACAGTATGTCGAAA